GAGAGGGAGGGAGACTATCTCAGCCCCCGCACCCTCCAGCAGCTTGTTGTTAGGGCACTTTTCCAGCTTGTTGGAGAGTCAGATTTCATTTGCGCCCCAATGAATATTTATACTAAGTGGAACAGTTCCAAAAGGAGAAATCAAAAGAGCCCTGCCCCAGCATATCCAGTAGCTGAGTGGTTGGGCACTTGCTTGGGTTGTGGGAAATCTGGGTTTAAGGCCCTGTTCTAAATAAGGCAGACCAGGGATGATTGGAACTCGTGTGTCAGAGGTGAGCTCCCTTCTCATTACTTTGGGGGTGAAAAAGGGGAAGTGTCAAAAGGTCTCGCGTTCATCTACACGTGGAATGGGGGAAAAAAATCCAAAATCTTGAAAATAACTGTGATCTGAGGTGTTACGCAACCTCAGATAAGAACCTGGTCCAGGCACAGCTCCTCGTTGGCCCAAAGAGTGTCTGGGAAGTTCTTACTTTCCCAAAGGGTCTCATAACCACATTGCCCTTTTCCTCCTGGCACATGACTACCTTGTAGTGTTTTGTCTCTAGACTGCATTATGATCTGCATCAATTTCCAAAAAAACTCTCCTATGCCTAAGCCTTAGACCCCTTCTCTGTGTGCTCTGTACCCTCCAGTTCCCAGACTTGTCGCCCTCTTTGTGGGAAAATCACTATCACTTGCAAAGCTGTTGGAAATGGTCTTTCCATGTTGTGGTCTTGCCTGGAATCCATGGGCCAAATATTCAGCTGGGGAAAATGCTCCATTATGGTTTATACCAACTAAGGATCAGGGCTAGAATTTAACTCTGGATTTCCTACTCATAATGCTAATAGAAGGCATCTGGGAGATGTGGAACATTTTTGGCCCTCTCTATCTTTTCTGCCAACCCTACCCCGACCTTCCAACTATGAACAGACAACCTTAGCAGTCCCACAGTATTACAGCCCAGGCCTCTCAACTGCATGTTCAGTGCATCCTTGTGGGGGGGATACCCACTAAAAATCAACGGAGTCACCTTTTAAAAAAGTCTATAGCATTGGGTTTAAAAAGCCCTGTAAGATTGCAAGTTGCATATTGGCACTTGGTCTGCTGAAGGAAGATACATGCCACACTGTATTCAGGAGCTCTGTGGTGTCGTTTTCCAGCTGTCAGTATGATTAATGGACATTGTGTTTTATTTCCAGCTTTATCAAATACTAATTATGTATATGATAATTCTTAGAGCGGCAGTTGCTTTTGGTTCATTCGTTCTTCTCCCTGGAGACATATCAAGGATTTTTCCCCTCTTTCCTGAAATTTTGTTTTAATTGCTTCTCTTCAACCTTTGCGTGTGGTTTCATGCTATATGAGGGTCAATGTATTGATCCTATGCTTTGATAAGGTCAGCAAAGATCAGGTGTGACATTTAGAAGGTATTGCTCCTCCTAAAATGGGCTTACTCATCAAAGTGTTGTCTAGGGGACTGAGTGGGAGAGGGAAGGAAATCAACACCTTCACATATGTTATTTAGTGTGCATCTGTACCACTACTTTGGGCTGCTCCCAGCATCTAGTCCATAGATGCTGACCACCTACATTACAAACCTCAGAGGTCACTCCCCTCTCCTGCCCCTCCACTCTCCTAGTGGTACTGAGACCCACCTATGAGCTAGACATATCCTTCTGAGGACGCTCAGAAAGAATTGATTGTGGACATGTGTGGTAATCCTATCCTGCCAGGGTAGGTGTGTAACCATGCATAAGTCCAAACATGAAAGGGATGTGAGTCAGGTGGAAAATAAGCCAGAGGGACCTTGACTCTTTGGCTCAGGGTGATGGGCAGTGGAAGAAAGGGTGCTCTCACTTCTGCATAGCCATTTTATTTAAGGACTATTGTATATTAAGTGCACCATTTAGGGCAGGATATGCAGGCCTACATCAGTGTAAGTCACTCTATTATGGTGTAAAGTTACCCAGTTATCCCACACCCCAGCAATATCTATACTTTGCTGTATATTGTGTGTGTGTATGCCTCTCTGTCCATCTAGTTAATTTGAACTGAGTCAGGGATAGCCCTTTGTTCAGATGACTACCACTTACTTGTGGGGCACTGTGAGAGCAGCCTGCAGTTCAATAAACTGGTCACCTGTCATCTCAGGATCCTGGTCTAATTTATATCTGTAACAGCTGCTGCTGGATTTGGAGCAGGGTTCAGGATCCCTGCAAAGGCAGAGTGGGAAAGTTTGCAGAAAGTCATTGGTTGCAAAAGCTTATGCATGTTTTTTTATTGGCTCCTGAGGCAGGAGAGGGGAGGGAACTCAGCCCCAGGGACTCAGCCAGGCTCAGAGAAGGGAAGGAGCCCTGGGACCACAGAGCTCGGGGCCTGCCTGTAAAGTGAACCTGTCCTTAGTGATGGGGAGAAGACAACCTGGTACCCTCTGTGAGGCAGAGGGACCTGTGGCTAGGAGGGCAGGGTTTTTCATAGATTCATAGATTCATAGATTTTAGGGCCGGAAGGGACCTCAATAGATCATCGAGTCTGACCCCCTGCATATGCAGGAAAGAGAGCTGGGTCTAGATGAGCCCAGCTAGATGCCTATCTAACCTCCTTTTGAAGACCCCCAGGGTAGG